ATATATATATATATATACATAACTGAAAGTACTTCTTTTTTAAGGAAGCAATAAAAGAGAAGAAAGAAGGCTTGGATTAAACAGCTGAGTTACATTTTATAATTATATCTTTTTATATCTAAATTTTGATTTAATTTATTAAAGTGTATTGGATATCACAGACATATAACAAACACAATCGTGTAAATAATTATGTTATAAAGGATTGGATTGAATCCAAGCAGAATGTTAAAGAGGCTGGGAATAATTAGCTTAAACATGCTCAACTACTGTCTTGTATTTGCACACACAAACACACACACACACACACACATACGCACATGCATATTCCATTCTTGTAAATATTTAAACTTTATTATTAACTGTGAATAAATTTGTGTATCAAATTGCATTCTATATCTTTAATTAATTATATTTGTATGTATATCCTATAGACACAAATTTATGTGAATATGAAATTGATTTTATTAAGAAAAATATTTATATTTTATCAATAAGAGAAACTGAATATCCTGAGTTGTAGGAAGATATGCTTCACCTTTAATATCTAATACTGTTAGTAATAAGATTTGTCTCTGCTGATGCTGTGATATTGCTACTGCATATACAAATATACAAAAAAATACAATAATTGCATTGATCACGATTATCATTTATTTACAATTATATCACAATATCATATTTACGATTATAAACATACCACAATATCATATTTACGGTTATAATTTTAATATTGAAATACTGAGTACGAAATGAATAACTGCATTTTATAATTAAAATTGTACGAAGTACAATTTGAAGAATAATTCATTTTATTTCTTCCATAAATTGTGGATCTTGACTAAAATCTATCAACCATCTAGCTGCGGTATAAGTGGTCGGTAAAGTAATCAGTTTCTTCAAAATTTTATATACTTTAGGGCTATGATGATATGTAGCTGCAGCAAATTGCCTCATATATTCACTATAAGTTTTCTTACTAGAACCAGTCTCATTATTCGCAAATTCATGCAAAAATAATTCTTTTCTTTCTTCGCAGATGTACTTGTTAACAGCATCTTTTATCATTTTCATGCTATCATTTTTTTCTTCAGTTTCTTTCTTTTTCAGACGTTCCTCCAAGTCCTTAATTTTTTTATCACGTTGTTTCAAGCGTTTTGTCAAACTTTGTATAATTTTTTCTGATTCATCAAAGTTCCGTTTTAATGTTTGCACACCAATTTCTCTTTTTAAAATATATGACACATTTGGTTTTTCCTGTATAATAAGATAATTATTTTTTTTATATGATTATATTATAATTACATTTTAAAAATATATAACTATAAAAATATAAAATATAACTATACATTTAACTTTAATTTATATCATAATAGATCTTTGTTATATAATTACCATTTTACAATTTTCATTACTAATGTCTAGCGGATCAACTTCGATGTTTAATATGTTTGGTAAGGTCTCTTTTTCCTAATAAAAATTCAATTCTTTTGTAAATAATTTATATTACATAACTTATTATTAAAATAAGTTTTTTTTTTAATATGAAATTTATAAGATTTATTTACTAATTCAACTAACTGATATTGGGACTCTTGATACTCTTCAAATATTGTTGGAACAGCATTCTTATTTAACATATTACGTAGAGATTTAAATGAAGTAGATTCAGTAAAACATTCTGCTGTAAAATGTTTACTACATAATCTAGAATGTTGAGTAATATCTGTAGTCCTTAAAATATTAGATGGAATTGCTGAAATCCATTGTTTGCGTAAACTTTCATCTTTAGGAAAACTAAAAATAAAGTTTGTACATGAAAGAATAAAATAAACATTTTATATTTTTTATAACGTTTCCTTTATCATATAATTATATATATTTTTTATTTAATTATTATATACACTTAATAACTATATTTTAGTTATATTTACCAATGAAAAGTAATAATGTCACCTCTTATCCATAAACTTTTACAGTTACCAATACAGCAAGTAACTACCATTTTTTATTTATTTATTTTTTTTAATATTAAGCAATATAATATTTATAATAAAGATAGTATTTTTTTTAATTTTTCCTTCGATTGAAGAAAGTGTAAGGTGTTACTTCTACTGTTTTGCGCAGTATTTCAACAGATACAGTTTTTCTTTTTTAGATTAAAACTGACATCAAAAGACCTAGTTGTACTAATGTAATTAATTTTGAGATAATTATTTAGAATACGGTCATCATCTCCGATTTTGATGAAATTAGGCTTATTCGACGCATTTTTGCACAAAACGAAAAAATCTGAACAAAAAATATTAGGATGGCCCCCGATATTAAGCCGAGATATTAAGCGTTAAAGTTGACAATTATAGAGATCGAAGATCCGTCATATCGATGAGATGCAGCGACATGTTCAAATTCTCTGCTTGACAAATAAATTTTTTGCTTCACAAACAAATTCTCTGCTTGACAAACAAATTGTCTGTTTTAAAAATAAATTCTCTGCTTTATAAACACAAATGTATGTTTGTAATACTGATTCTAAAATGAGTCGAAGTCGGAAGTCTTAGGCCGGTATTCATAGTTAGATCTTATATTCAAAATTGTCTTAAGTACAGTCTTAAGAAGTCACAAACCAATCAGAAGGCTGCATTAGCGTCTTACGACCATACTAAGACTGTCTTGAAATAAGACTCAACTATGAATATCAGCCTTAGTCGTACAAATTGCCTATTGGTCAACTTTACCGATAAAATTTATGATTACCAATCATCGACTCATTGTAGAATCAGTGTAAAGCAAAGAATTTATTTGTAAAGCAGACAATTTGTTTATCAAGCAGAGAATATATGTGAATGAAAAATTGTGAATTATGATATTAAAGAAAATTACATTTTTATATGGATTAAAGTTTAGATCTAACATTGTAGTTATTAAAACGCATGACCACAATGCAGAATTGTGTATCTTGAAATGAGGTGAAAATTACAAAAGTGAACAAACTCACTAAAATATTCATAATTTAATTGATCAATATCTAGTAATCATTGCTCACTTTTGTAATTTTTATCTCATTACAAAATACACAATCGAGCTTCAGTGACCAAAATTCATGTCGCTGCATCTCATCGATATGACGGATTTTTTTAATTTCTATAGTCGTCAACTTTAATGCTTAATATCTCGGTTCGCGCCGTTCTAACGTTTTTTTTCTTATAGATTCTTTCATTTTGTACAAAAAATTGAATAAACTTAATTTCATCAAAATTGGAACGTTAAGGGGCTCCGCACAATAAAGGGAACAGAAAATCAGAAAACAGAGAATAAGAATTTCAACCTATCAGAAATCATGTATTGTGGATACACAGTTTCAGATAAGTTGAAATTCTTAAAGTGCAGTCATAATAGAAAAAATAAGGAATTAGGAATAAGGAATAAAGATTTCAATCTATCAGAAATCGGATACATGGGAATACACGATTTCTGATAGATTGGAATTCTTATTCCTAATTCCTTATTCCTTCTATTGTGGTCGCACCATTATTCTCTGTTCCCTGTTCCTTTTATTATACGAAACTCCTAAAAATTTCAACCTATTAGAAATTGTGTATTCCATAATACATGATTTCTGATAGGTTGAAATTTTTATTCTCTATTTCCTGTTCTTTTTATTGTGCGTACAACCGGACAAACAATTAATCTGTCGGCGCTTGTAAAGCCGGTTCTACTAGTTGCAAGCTGATTGCAAGTTTGTTGCGACAGCCAATCAAAACTTGCTTTTGAAATCAACTCTTCATATTGACTGTCGCAACATCGCAACAAACTTATGATCAGTTTGCAATTAATGTAGAACCGGCTTAATAAGTTTTGTTACAAGACAACTTATAGTTTTGTCTAACAGACCAAAAATTCGTGGACATAGTGAAGAATATAACCAAAAAATCATGAGCATTATCGACTGGATCATAGCTACTTAATTCAATATCCGCATATTGTGGACATAGAGGCACCTCAAAATAAAGTATAACAGTAGAGTTGCTCTAGTGCCCATTTCCAATAACTTAGTTTCCACTGAAGGTTTAATTCGGATCAGAATATGTAAGAATCAATCAACTACAGTTGAGTATTCCTCTGTCTCAGACCGGGTTCACACCTTGACGGAAAAACGGAAAGCTGAAGCCAATCAGAACTCGTGAAAAAACAGAATCAAACAAAATGTACCACCTTCTATTACTGCGAGTTCCGTTGGCTTCTACTTTCCGTTTTTCCGCGTGAACCCGGCCTTACAATCGAACGACAGGGGAATGTTCGCGACTGTTGGTTGGTTCTTATACTCATATTCATGTGCCCGTATTCATAGTCAGACCTTGTACTTAAGGCTTCCTTAAATTTATTTTTAAATGTTTAACCAATTACTAAGGCTATTGGCATCTAAATTTAAGGAAGCCTTAAGTATAAGGTCTGATTATAAATACAGGCATAAATCCTCAGTGGAGTAGACCAGCGTCTCCCCGAACGCACCATATATTTTCTGATAAAACACTGTTTGTATGAGAGGCTTTAGGAACGCCAGAACATAATATCATCTGGATTCCGAATAAGTCATTGTTTTATGCATATGTGACTTTGTGCACGCTTGCCGAAAGAGAAAGAACTGAAGAACGCTAGTTACGCGGTAGAAGTCAATGGGAGTGAGAAGCAAATAGAAGCAAATGGAAAAACGTTAAAAAACGTGACCTGGATTTTTTTTGGAAATCTTGGAACGCTGCCAATTTATGATTTAACTATTTGTGTTGGACATTTGTGTTGTAGTTTTGATTTGTAAAAACATGGAGAATTTAGAAAAGTCAATCGAAGATACTAAAGATGAAGATAACGTCGAAAGAATCACATGGAAAGATTTGGTAAGTACTCAACCATAGTGATATCAATTATAACCTCAAAATTGCGCACATTGTAGTACCTGATTAGTACCTATGAAAATTTGTATGAAAGATTATTGCGGTAATAAATTATAATATGTATGTTTTTACTATATATATATGTATGTTTTCGAAACAAGTTACGAACCCGTGTTCTCTTTTGTGGTATTCTGTATTTATGAAATTATAAGAAAGAGATTTATAAAGTGTAAGAATAGTAACAAATGGATTATTTATATTAGTGTTTATTAAAAGGTTTCTAGCAGCATACATAGACGATACTGTAAACTCTATTGGAGCCTATTGGAGCACGCAATGTGAACAAATTATATGTAACACTGTATATGCTTTTCAACTACAGCACAAGTCGACACAATCATACACAGCTTAAATGATGTGTTTGACTGTGTCATCATTTTTTATCACTTCATGAATACCAACAAATTTTTACATTTTATTACTGTAAATTTTTATGATCTTAGGAATTGTTAATTTATCAAAGTAATTGAGAAATTAAAGAAAGGGAAAAAGAGAAAGTATGTAATAAAGTAATAATTATCTTTTAAATATATTAAATTAGCGATAAGAATCAAATAGAGAGGGATATGGAAGGAAGAAGGAAAAATGGAGAGAGCAAGAGAGAGACAGAAAGAAAAAGCATATATATTCAAACACTCTGGAATATGATACTTCTTCAGACGCATAATTCGTCAATTTTATAAAAATTATTGATGGTTAAAAAAGTTTTTAAAACATTTTTTTTAAATGTATACGAATTAAACACATTATAACAAACAAATCTTAAAATTTTATTATGAACAAACAAAATGTATGAATAATATTTAGCATAAAAGGAATTGCATTTCATATAATATTTATTTACTATTAAGTTATAGTATATAATTAAAATAACTTATAAAAATATAAATTGTAAATATTTTTATGAATCTTTTGGTAGTACATTTTAAATGATTAACAAAAAAATAATCATTATTACAGGGACTTGTGGATACACTCTGCAAAACATGTTTAGATTTAAAATGGAAGGAACCTACCAAGATTCAACAAGAAGCTATCCCTTTGACCCTTCAAGGTAATTTAAACAATGATTTAATTATACTCAAGTTCTAAAAAAATAATAACAATCATTTTCTACTGTTAGGCAAGGATGTGATTGGATTAGCAGAGACTGGATCGGGAAAAACTGCTGCTTTCGCATTACCTATACTACAAGCATTGTTAGAGAATCCTCAGAGATATTTTGCGCTGATATTAACACCTACAAGAGAATTGGCATTTCAAATTTCAGAGCAATTTGATGCGTTAGGTAAAAATTGCTTATTTTATTTGTTAAATATTTTGTTTTATTTCACATTACAATTATTTTAGGTTCCAGTATTGGCGTAAAAACTGTAGTGCTAGTAGGGGGGATGGACATGCATGCGCAGGGAATGATACTGGAGAAGAAACCTCATATCATCATTGCTACACCTGGTAGATTAGTTGACCACTTGGAGAACACAAAAGGCTTCAATTTACGACAGTTAAAGTTTCTGGTTATTATATAAACTATATATAATAGAGACTCGGATTTATTTTGATTATCACATTAATTTTGAGTCTTTTATTACTTGTTTTATTCACAAGGTGATGGACGAGGCAGATCGTATCTTGAATATGGATTTCGAAGTAGAGGTTGATAAAATTCTCAGAGTAATACCACGGGAAAGAAGGACGTTATTATTTTCAGCGACAATGACTAAGAAAGTCCAGAAGTTACAACGTGCATCCTTACGAAATCCTGTAAAAGTTGAAGTGTCCACCAAATATCAGACTGTAGAGAAATTGCAACAATATTACATATTTATTCCCGTAAAATTCAAGGTACGAAATATAAACGATGTAACTATTAAGTCGCAAAATAAAATATCAATTACTACATATATATTTGTAAAATATTATACCAAAATAGTTATATATAAAATGATCGTTGCAGGATGTATATCTTGTACATATCTTGAATGAACTGGCGGGTAATAGTTTCATGATATTTTGCGGAACCTGTAATAACACAGTAAGGACTGCTCTATTGTTACGAAACTTGGGATTCACAGCGGTTCCTTTGCATGGACAAATGACGCAGAATAAAAGAATCGCCGCACTTACGAAATTTAAAGCAAAAAATAGATCTATTTTAATTTCAACGGATGTTGCTAGCAGGTTAGTTGATAATCTGAATCAAAGAGTTATCATATTAAAATGTATTAAAAATAAATTTTTAATCATTTTTGCATTATTCTTGTAGAGGTCTTGATATTCCGCATGTAGATATCGTTATCAATTTTGATATCCCTACACACAGTAAGGATTATATACATAGAGTAGGTCGAACTGCACGTGCAGGTCGATCAGGCCGTTCTATCACATTTGTTACACAGTACGACGTGGAGTTGTATCAACGAATAGAACAGTTGATATCGAAACAATTGCCATTATTTCCTACGGAAGAGGAAGAAGTAATGTTGCTGCAAGAGAGAGTAAGCGAAGCGCAGCGAATAGTAAAAATGGTAAAAACAATTTTAATGTATTACGATTTGATAACAGACATAGACAATTACATATAAATGTTATTGAAATATTCTAGGACATGAAAAATATCGAAGATAATAAAAAGTCAGGCAAACGGAAAAAACGCGGTGGTGATGAGGATGACGATACAGAACAGTCTATTGGAGTGAGGAAAAGAATGAAAGTAAAAAGCAAAAGAAAATAAGAACATTAGATATTTATAAAAGATGGTTGTTAATATTAATTGCAATTAATATTTGGATGTAATAAAATTTTTTTTTACGACTTTCGTTCTTTAAAAATGATTTCCGTACTGCTGGAGTATTATTCTGGAGAACTTTGTTACGAATATTTTAATATTAATCGGCTGGATTCGCAATGTTTTAGTAGAATTATTTTACTATCATATCAAAGCATATTTTACACATGATAAAATTTATATGCTTCGTATGTTGCGAGCTAAACTTTGAATTAAATTATGCGAATATTAATTATACGATTGTAGCAAAATATTGTAGATCGCACATAAGATTTAATAAGTTCGATAATGTATGATTTAAATAGAGTATAAAAATTCAACGACCTTACACGTCTCATTTGCAAATTAAGAAATATTTTTTTTCGTAAATCATTCATTAAACATTATATATTTTCTCATATTTTCTTGTATATTGTATATTTTTATATATTAGAGATTCTGAATTCATGTCATTCTAAAACTAACATCAGAATATGCATGATTCACAGTTCGTTATTATTTAAGATTTCGTTGTTCGTAAATGTAGGCTTTCACACACTGTAATTTATGATTTCTTATATTTCGATGATAATTTTCGATTTTTATAATTTTAAGTCTTTGAATTTTATAATTACTTTATAATTACTATTTCTTTTATATTTTCTATAAGCACACTGTAAGTATGCGATCAGCTATCACTTAAATCACATTATGGAAAGATCGATTATTGTCATCATGGAAAATCCATCATAATAATCTCATCGATTTTCCAATCGATTATATTGATTACTCTACTCAGTTATCTTAGAGTATTAAGGCAAATATGAATCTTAATGTATAGATTAGTATTATGCACGAATTAATATGAACCAATTTTCGTGATTTTGTCCTTTGAGTTTGTTTTAAAATCCCACTTTGTTGGCGAATTGAAGTTTGATGAGCAACAAATTCGACAAATTTGCCCATTCACGTTCATGAATATCATACGAATAATGAAAACTACGAGTCAAGAATTAGGAATCGTGCATAGTCTAGTAGCGCAAGCTTGACTAGATTAGCGGATGAATGATGGAACGGAAACTTGTACGAAGATGCTCCTGTAAGACTTGAAATATAATTAATTCAAGCAATAAGGTAAACATTGTTATACTGAAGAAATTAGTACTGTATTTTAACGACTTGAAGTCTTTGCACAAAGCAGTATGGTATTTAAATATCACTCAAATAATCACAATAAAATATATTATTAAGTAAAATCACAATTTCTTCATCATTTGCAGTGAACGCGTTAGGGGAAATTAATTAGAAGCATCGAAGACAAAATTTGTTATTATATAACAAACGGAGGTCTTCTTTCTCTTGCACGCTTCTATTTGAGTTTTATCACATAAGCAGAAATCCCGTTTACAAGAAGAAATGCAGACAAAGGAAAGCACGTTCGTCCCTACAGCAGAAAAGTGTTATAACGATCGTTATGTACAGCTTTTACACTACTGTAAAATCGATTGATTTGTTTTCATCAAACTTCTATAGAAAATCAGTAATTCATTGTACAAGTTTTTGTAGTACAAAATACGGTACAAGAAACACGGTAAGTATTTCTTCGAATTTACAACTACGATGCATCCTCTAATCGCTAGGAGATTATTAATTGTATAAAGTGGCAACAGATCCTCATTATTTTTCGTGATCATTTGAAACTGCTTAACGGCGCACATAATCATATCGCGCTAATCAACAAATATAAACGTGCTTGGAGAATATTTTTCGGTGTTTTATCCTTGTCGTTTTGTTCTTGCAAAAAGCATTAATTAAAAATGCTGCAATTTTTAAATGTGACATCCATCACGCATTTAATTCGGTTATCAATTAGATGCAAGCTGATTAACAAACATTTTATGTGCAAGCAAAGTACTCAATAAAATTGTCAGCATCAAACACAAAGTTTTGGTCGGAATCGCGGTCGATCTCATGCCCAGATTAACCGTTAAGAGAATTTTACTGTTTTAAAATCTTGTAACTTAGATTTTATTCAGCATTTTTAGACAGTTGGTATTTAGGTGTAAAAAGAGTGCTTTTTATAAAATCGGCAATAGGATAGAATGTTAAAAAGATATGAAAATGGAAATAAAAAGTATAAATGATTCCTGACTTTTTATTGATAAATATTTAACTAATAAATGATTTTTTTTTATTATAATAAATCGATATAATTATTATTTGAGTGACCTGTAATAATTATATCAATATATTCTAAAAAAGCTAGATAAAATCATTTATTAGTAGAATACTTATCAGTAAAAAAGGAGTTCCCTTCTTCCAACTTTTATATCTTTTTTTCTCAGACATTTCATCCCATTACTAATTATTAAAAAAAGTAATTCTTTTATCAAGTCTAAATATCAATTAGGATCTAAAAATTTTAATTAAAACCCGATGTATAACAGGATTTAAAATAGAAAATCGCATAGAGATCTTCTGGGACCTAATATATCAACCCTTTGCGGCATATAATTTTCTATCAGCCCAATTTCAATAAAGCTTGATATTTGGGAGATTTTTGGGGGCGACCAAGATGTGACATCTTACAGGAGACTCATGTATTACAAAAAAGTAAAAAACGTAAAAAAATATGTAAATTTATAAAAATATGTAAAAATTGTAAAAATGATAGTGAACTGATAGTGAAAGACAACATATGGATATGTTACTATGCCGCAAAGAGTTAAAAAAATTCTTATAATCGTAAATCTCGTAAACATTTGCCGCGACGTATTTATCGCTGTTCTTTTACATATGTATAATGTTTAAAATCTCTCCGATAAATTAAAATAAATTTGAAAAAAAACGTGATCGTGCGATTCCGTCATGCAAATAATATCGAAATCTCTCTGCAACAAGAGTATCTGCTTAGAGTACATGTATACGCTACGCTTTATTCAGTAATGAAATTTCATCTCCCGTTAAATAATTGTATGAGAATCTCAACTTAGTTTTTATTACTAGGGAAAGGGGATATATATTTAATCTCGTTGTCGAAGGTTCTTGTGAATAATGAATAACGCATTCATAAAAAGGAGTTGTTATGATATGATGATCTTGTGCGAAATTATTTATTTTAAATGCTGATACTATTTTTATAACATGGTCAACAATGTCTAATACAATTAAAGAATTGTAAATATTATATGTACAAAATAATATATTTAATATAAAAAATGATAATAATTATTACGTTTCTGTAACGTGTTAGTATAACATTGGATATATTAATAGATATTTTTTTCTTTCCTTTTTTTCGAAACAATTACGGAACAATTATGACGTACTTGATGTTTTATAATTATGTTTCATAGTATCAGCAATTTATTCAGATATTAATGCTTTTACGATACGTTAACATTATTGCGGTAATACTGAGTTTATAATAAATAAATTCGCACAGTATGACTCCTCTTTGCGATTCTCGATTAAACAGATATGCATATTGACAGCGATTAACGATCACTCGATGAATTAGTAAAGTTGATGAAATGCTTATAAAGTATAATAATCTGAGGAAATATTTATCTTGCAAAATCTGTAGCATGAAAAGCTTAGCCTATCACGCTACTGTTAACAATACGCGTACAATCTCAAACTTCGACGACGAGCCCCGGCCTTATCAATCGTTAGAACGCATATAAGTAACCTATTTCAAAAGCGGATTCTAATCACGATGGATGGAATGTTTTCCAAACATAGGTTGAGATGATGTGCTAGTGCGTCAACAAAAATCGAAACAACTTAGGTTTCATTCAAATGAGAAATAAAATATATTCCATAATATTATTATTCACTATTTCTACACATTCTGTACATTAATTCAATTTAAGGGTTTTATACCTCGATACACTTTATACAAAAAGGCTACTTATAATCTAACATTAAGACGTACCATAGCATGAGCGCCCTCCGCCAGACAGCAGACGGGCTGCACGCATGTTTGTACTGGTATTACAGAGTCAGTCGCCAGCAAGTATATCATCCTTTCTCTCTCTCTCTCTCTCTCTCTCTCACGCTCTCTTCTTTCATTCTTCCCGTTATCACACAGCATACTGAATCATTCCATGTGTTTCTGCAATGCTTCTTTCTTCAATTGTCTCTCCAATCTCCCTCTTTGCTTCCTTGGTATCATTTACAATAATTATTTCCCATACAATCTTTCTGCTTGTATCTTTTTTCATTCTTTTTTTTTTCATTTGATCTATCCTTCATCGAAAAAAAAGGATTAAGAAAGATTTTGTCATCGCAACATCGAAATATAATGAAATGCTTTCATTGCTTTCTATGCACAAATTTGTTCTTTTTATAAACTGATTTTTTTTCTCTTATGTTGGACTCTACCGATTTTATACCGAACAGAATTATCTTCTAAAGTTCAGATAACACAATACCGGTACAGAAACGGCGTATTTCGAAGACTCAACGAGCGACAGAACTGTTAGTTCAGATCTCTGTCCTCTAAGTACTTGTATTCAAAAGTAAATCCTTCTTTTTTCCTCTGCCCCCATTTTTCGTAGTCAAAATAGATGTACGTTCCCTGAAACGCAAGCAATTCTTATAGAACATCACTAAACATGTCTAACATATCTAAGATGTGCTATCAAATGATCAGCTTATTCCTCATCCTTTGACGATTCTTTTAAATTGCTCATTTTAGACGATACACTAACCTGCTCGTATTCCTCATTAATAATTTTCGGTTCCTCGTGCCTCTGGAACCACATCATATACTTAGTGTGAAACCTCCAACTTTGTTTCTTCAAAGCCTTTGCTGCTAAATACTGCCCCTTAGACCCCTCCATATAATAAAATATGAAGAATAAAGTTTCCGTAGAAAGGCGTTGGAAGAACTCCACAGTATCCGAATGAGGAAGCTGAACCTAAACAGCAGCACATGTGTGCATTAGTAGCGTCAATCCGTGTAGTTGTTCGCTACGCGGAGAGCGAATTAATGGCTGCATCCAGCAGAAAAAGTTTGCAACTCTTGTAAAATTCTTCAATATAATTGGTTTATACATTTAAATCCAATAAGGAACTAAAGCAAAACCAATCATATTAAAAATTTTTACAACAGATGCAAAGTTACTTTTTCTATTGAACGCAGCCACTGCTTTAGCATCGGACTAAAGAAATGTACCTGCTGATAATAAGGTGGCGTGGTGCATGTATTTCTCGGCAAATATGAACGTAATCTTTCCGAGTCAGACGGATGTGGCATATGATAGTAGGCGGCTTCCATCATTTGGAACTGCAACTGGTGCTCCTTCTGTAATGGTACAGGCCCCAAGGGCGCGACCCCAAGCAGCGGAGGAATGTGTGCTTCCGACGTGGCATTGTTGTTGCTACTGTTGCTCGTCTTGGCACTGTCAAAGATGTTTCTATTCGGCTCGGAAGGTGGTATCTCGAGACCTGCTCGGACAATTACTTGTTGGGCAATGGATTTTAAAGAGGACATGCTTCCATCAGGAAGCTTAGGGATGAGACCATTGGCAGTGGACGGTGCTGGCGAGCAGGAGTTTGCGGGCATCGGCGAGGATCTACTGCTGACCGACGACTGCGGCGACGAAGATGGCGGTATCGGTGTAGTCATTTCCGTTTCACTATTGTGATTCTGACTCTGTTGACTGTGCAGTACGTGCGTCGTCTGTGCCGGTGCCGGATTATTATTGTGCTGTTGCGCAATCGTTTGCGGCACATTCGACGTAACACTGGACGTAGATGATGATGATAAGATATTATTCTCACTGTTGTGAGCTACAAAAAAAAAAAAGATTTAATATTATGTATCGAGAAATGTAGTGAAACGTGTGAAAGTGCAAATTGATCTATCAGAACATTCCACATGAATTGTTAGTCGTGTAAGAAAAAAACGAAATGTCTTACTAGATGTTTTATTGGAGGTAGAATGGATGGCTTGCGAATTGCTGTGCGAGGCAGCTACGGTGGCGAAATTGCCGGCATTAGTCGTGGCAATGTGATTGCTCGTAGAACTAGGCGAGCTATGGCTAGGTGTCATGGGAATGGTTTTGCTTGGAGTGCTGCTCGATAACATGTTCGATTTTATGGTGGCAGTGCTTCCCGTGGTTGGAATGCTCGCTTGCGTATTCAGTAGCGGCCTGACTGCTGTTGGTTTCACAGGCTGAAATCAAAGACATTGAAAGCGATGCTCCATATATCCGTATCAAGTAGATCTCGACAAGGCTTATCGATCTGTACTTCTCAATTCTGTATGGCTTGATTCCTTCGAAAATGAGGTATCGATCCCCTTTTCGACTTTCTCGAATAAAAATGGAGAATGAAAGGACCCACACCTTGGTTTTCTTGTCATTATCTGTAGAACTATCGCTCGAATGGTTATGCATAGTGGAGCTCAACGACGGCGATGGTATAGGCGAAGTACAGGAATTAGTTGAGGTTGGCGTTCCTCCGGTTTCATTGCTGTTGTTACTATCTGTTGTTGCTGACGAGGGGATGCCAACTCCTGACAACTCAACTTCATCAAGGCCGATAATATCATCGTAAATATATTCGTTTTCCTCAAAATCGGGATCTTGCGAAGATTCGATATAATACTCAACATCGTCCTTTATCCTCTTTATCTGTTAAGAATTTCATAGAGAAATTAATAGAATTATCTAATATAATTTGTTATATGATCGCTTCATATTATGCCAATCTGAAAACGCTTACTGTATTGACTTCGACAGACATATTATCAAGCATACGTAATAATGTCTCCAATTTACGGATATGGTAGCGGTGTTTGTCGAGCTTTGCCTTCAATTCATCCACCCTATCTTGTTTATCTTTGTCTATCCTTTTCTTCTTTCCCGCTTGTAACGATTCTATTTCCGATTCAAATGTATCCATCTACATCAAAAGTAATGATAAACGTGTTATAACAACTTATATTCAATCATTATTAAAATTTATCCAAAACATCATCAATACGAAGACTGGTACCTGCAGATTGAGAGCGTCTATGGAATTGGCAAGCCAATTAGTAACCTCATCTTTCTCCTTCTGAGCTGGGTCTAATTTCTGAGCAGCGCCTAAACCTTCTTTAGAATAAGCTTTTGTTTTTGTCTCTCTTTCTACAACTTTAAATCTTTCCATTTGCTATAAAGCATAAAAACATTTACTATATAATTTACTTACAATTTATTTATTCTAATGTATTTTGCTCTAACTCGTTAGAAATACATGTTACATGCAAATATACTAACAGTCTCAATCAACTTCCGATAGTCCAGAAGCGTACTCTTATCCTTTATTTCACCCGACGCGATCCAGCTCTTAATTTGATCGCGTAACCTTTGAAGTTTCTTGATTTCCTTTTTGAGATCAGCCTCGTACTTTTCTTTCTGATTGCTGTTCGTGGCATTATGAACTTTTTGCCAAATATCTTCAAAGGTTTCCACACCTTCCGTTACTTTTTTAAGGCACCGATCTATTTCACCTGAAATGATATAAAATGAATTATTACATTGTTTTATATTTAGTTCCTTGATATAAACTGCTTAATTTCATTTAAAAATTATTTAAAATAGAACAGATTTTAATACAAAAAAATAACAAAATTATTTATCAGTTTTCTTCATTCCCAATACTTATTTTGATTTATAAATAAATTGTATAAATTATTTCCAAAGTTTAAACTAATTTGTTTTTTTGGCCAAAAGTGACAAATTGAAGTTTCACTTAATATTATAATTAATTTATTCTTCACATAAAATAAAAACTATAAATAATAATTCATATAAGTTTCACATTTATATTTACATCACAATTTAAAAAAAAAAAAAGATGATAACATATATTATAAATAGGATTGTTATGAGCAAAATCTTCATAGGCTTTCCAAGAGACATTTTAAGGATGTTATCAGGATCCTTTGATAAATTGTGATTGATGGACGAAGAAAAAAGAAAACAAAGACTAAGTTTCGTTATGTATTCACTACAAGTTCCATTTACTGACACAATTCAATACAAGCATTCTTATTTTTCTTGATTGAACATCAAGAAAGATAGATTGATATTCGTGTCGATTTGTGTCACCAAAAGCATCCTACAAGTACTGAAAATGTATAGTATATAATAACGTGAACTGTAGATTTTTAATAACTCGCAGTGAATAACTGAACGCAACCAAAGTATATATATATTCAACGATCACAAAAAATACAACAGAAAACAATTTTCATTCTTACATAATTATCTTGGAATAAAGAACATTCACATTTTACACCTAAAAACATAAATAACTTGTAGCAAGAAATCTGTTCTTTGTAATCGAACTAGTATGCACTGTACGTAAAAGAAACAAATATATGAAGTTTGGCGAAAGTCAAAGGAATAGGAAGTTTTAGTGCAATCCAGTGTAATGACAAAGGACAGGCTTAAGTATGGTGAAACAGATTTCAAGATACACAGCGTATGGCTCGCACTATTGTAGTTAATTAAAAAAATTGAAGTTTAAAATCTTTAAAGGTTATGCTGACAAAATAAAAAGCCGTCATGTTCTGCACGATGGAAGACCCATCGCGGTTGTAGGAGGTAAGTGAGACAAAGCGAAGTAGAGTCCATGAACCCGGGTCGTCCGCGTCATTGTAAGCCGTTATAGCCTATGACGCTGGATTGGCGCCTCGCGATATGTTGTATGCCGGGAATCGTGCCGTTCGTGATCGCGCCGAGTCGGCGGGGCGACTTGGCGCGATTCATAAAAGCGCCTTGATGGCTGAATCGCGGGAGACCGGCGACAAAGGGTGAAAGCGCGCGACGACCCGGACGGTTCGTCCAGTCCGATGCAGCGGCGACCGCGGCAAGAAACAGGAACGAGCGATATATCCAAATGTAAACACGCTGGTAACACTTTCTCCTCACCTTGCAACTTTCTTGTCGCAGCCATGGCTATGTGAACGTGTGATAAAATGGTTCATGCATAGTCTAGACGTATTTGGTGAGATACAAAGCAATTTATCGGAACAAATAGCTGTAGAACTATTATTCCCCGTGTGATATGGGAGCCTCGGCCACAAGATGGCTTCCGTTTTCAAATGACAACGTCCGACCGTCCGTGTGTCGCGCACAGGCACAGAGACCCTCCGCGATTCTGCCCCTAGAGATTTCCTAAGACGCGTAATCACGAGCCCGTTTAACGTCGTTCGCGTATGTGAGAAACCTCCTGTCGAGACGCCGGCGTGTCTTGCTTTTGCCACTCGTAAAAGAATCGCGAGAGAGGCGAGTAGCATCAACAAACGTGATATACACGAGATACGAAGAGCGAGATAACGTGATACGCGTCGACGCACTCGCACACATTCTATCCGTATATATACACTCTAGAGTATGTTCGTAAATGTGAAATATTGCATGACGTGTATTCTCGACTGATCTTGATTCTAGATGCAATCATGTAACTTCCCTATAATATCTCTGAAATTGACTGCATTCCAAATACAATAGAGCTGAATTTGGAAATATCATCCGAGTATCCCCATGTATCGTTTTAGGCCGGAATCAGACTACGCATTGAAAAATGAAATTGAAGATTGAAAGATTAAAGTTTGACCAATCAGAACAAAAGGAGCCAAAACTTCTTTGTTCTCATTGGTGAAATTTCAATCTTTAATCTCAATCTTCAATGCATAGTCTGATTCCGGCATTAAAATACCTTTAGAGTGCTTTTTTTTGTTAGCGATTGACGCTCGTTTTCAATTTCAAAATAGGTTACTTGATCAATTACGTGACTTATTTTGACGCCGAAAATGAACGTTGAGCGTCGGTATAAAAAGGCTTTAGGTTCTGCGCACAAATAGCAGAGAGTCGATGTATGTTCAAATAAAGTGAAAATTACAAAAGCGAATAAATTTATTAGATGTTGATCAATGAAATAATCAGTATTCTAGTAAATTCGCTCACTTTTATAATTTTCATTCACGATATCCAATGAGCGTATAGCTTTAGGGAACGTTTATATTGGCCGTAATGATATGCCATATGCTGTAATCTGTAAGAATTGACTAATCATAGTCGAGTATTCTCCTCCCATTTGACTGTAAGAATGGAATATTCAAAGGTGATTGGTCAATTTTTACAGATTATGACAGACGATTATGGCCAATATAAACACTTTCTAAGAATGAAAACATCGATAAATGTACATTGGATATTGCAACTAATTCTCGCGCTGGTTTGCAATTAGCATAAAGAATTAGGAATAAAAAATAAACGATTTCAACTTATTAGAAATCGGATACATCGGAATACACGATTTATGATAGGTTGAAATCGTTTATTCTTTATTCTTAATTTCTTATTCCTTCTTGTGCATAGAGCCTTATCTTTGGCCCTTATCCCTTATACAAGGATACACGGCATGATATAGGCTATGGTCCACTTGATGCTATAAATGCTTCGAAGGATTTCTTGATTGGTTAGTTAATAACATTCTTTCTTCCAATTAATCAATCAAAAGTTTCGAAACATGTAATGTTAAATGGACTGCATCTAAAAGCTGTATCGGAGACTATCGATTCTAAATCGTTGACGACGCTAACTCAAAAAATAAACTCGAATCTAAACGCAAGTTGGCCGATCCAATCAGTCAGCGCCTCGCTATGATTAACCTGTCGAGGATTAACAGTCAGAATCGACAGTTGGGTCGGTCTACAGAATCTGAGACGGTAGTGTGATGTGACTTTAAAAATAAGGGATATGTTCATATTATAACTACAAGGGTATGCTCGTGTGCACGTTTACGCCCACTGGCCAATCAGAATTGTTAACAAGCATACAGTCGATCACAGAAAGATGCAACATTTTTTTTTTCGATGGGTTTCAGAATGCAGTTGGTCAATTCTTTCTTCATCCGATGTCTCGGACCGATTTCTAGCATCGTGGATATATATACGGCTTTAGATCGGAATCAGAGTGTTGTAGATACAAAGACTGCGTTCAACGAACTCAACAGTTGAGTGAGTGCTCGCTGTTATTGGTGTGATTCTTTTAGAATTTCATTTTCATCAGCATTTTATTCAATTAGCATTTTAGATGTGAAAAAATACATCAATAGCAGCTAATTTAACTGTTGTTCCGCTGAATGCAGTCAATGGTTGCATTCAATGAGCTCTTTTATCTGATTGATCTATATTTTAGATTCTAATAAAATATGCCAATCAGAAAGAGCTCATTGAACGTTCAATAAGCTTTTTTATCTGATTGATTTATATTTTAGGATCTAATGGAATATGCCAATCAGACAAAAGAGTTCATTGAGCACTCAGTGAGTGGTCGTCGTTCTAAATGCACCCAATGCTTAATATCATATCTACGTATCCTACGTTCGATTCTGTCCACAAGCTATTCACAATAGCATTCAGCAGGTACAACAATGGCCATCGAAAGTTTAAACTGGATCAGAATATAAGGACCAATCAACTACAATCAAGTATTCCCCTGTCGAACAAGGAAACTGCTCGACAGTAGTTGTTTGGTTCTTACATTCTGATTTGATTTAAATCTTTGGTGGAAACTAGGCCACTGTCAAGTTGAGTAAGCGCTCACTGCTATTGATGTATTCTTCTAGATCTAAAATTCTGATTGGTTGAGCTAAAAGAATACATCAATAACAGCGAATGCTCATTTAACTATTAAATCCGCTAAGTACACTTAATGATTGTCCAATGAAAAATTTTAGGTACTAGTTGAGTGGCTAAAGTAGTTAAATAATACGTTTCTTTTTGCGGCCATACAAAATCCATCTGGACAACATTAGAGACGCGTTTATTGGCACATTTATAAACAGGGCTGTTCGCGCGCGAACAAAGTGCCGAAAGATATCAAGAGTTTCGTTGATCAGAGAATTTACATTCAACGGTTTTGAGTTTCGAGTCGTCGTCGCTGCCGGTTCGCTGATCGCTCGCCGGTCGTGTTTACCGGTCGCGTGTCATTTTTGGAATAAGGGATCAAGGGATGGGGGGTATCGCGGCACCACGTTGGATGTACGCGTGTGCGTCCGCGAGAGATGTCACCGTATCATCGTACGACGGCCCTGAGCACTGGTGACTGGAGTGAGCGGCATTCGCGTTCATTGTCATTCCGCGTCTGCATCTCGTTCTCTCTCTGTCGCTGCTCGTATACATATCCAAGTCTACGACGGACGTCACGTCATTGTCAGTAGCAGTCAGCAGTAATCTTGTGACCGTGGAATCAGTACCGCCCATTGGATTCGGGCTTAACCTCTGCACGCGGCTCTCAGCGACTCTCAGGGCGAGCTGCGGCACGGTCGCTATGACAAAGGGTGGCATCACTGGGAATGTGTTGGAAGCACGGACAGTGCGGCGCTCATTGATATGACGCCATTTTACTAACCTTTTCGTCGCGTACAACTACCAGTTTCTCCAAGTCGCTCGCGGTCGCCGAAACGTTTCGTACCGTGTGCCGCACACGGCTGATCTCATCGTCGTACAAACTACGCTCGGCCGCGACGGCCGACTCGCGTTCTGCGAAAGTAAGTAAGTTTCTCGGAAGTTCGCTTCGGTCGACTGTACGATCGTAAAAAACTCGCGCGCGCCTCGCTCTCTCATTCACCCGTTCTCTCCCGCGAGTCATCCTCGCGTACGGTGCACATTTCCATCGTCTTTGTTCACGCCACGCGTCGTCCAGCTTCCGCCAGAAATCATCACGAGGTTCGTGCGAACGAAGGAGAAAGTACGACAGAGCCAACTGCCGTTGATTGCGATGCAATCCATTGATCTCGTTCCGGGATCGGCGTGTCTTCCCCGGACGCCGCTTCTTCTTTTTTGCCGTTTCTTCGAAAAGTGACGGATCCCGTGCGAGTCTGAAATCACAGCGAGAGCCTCGTGTTTCTCCCGACGTGACATGTGACTGTGAATCCGAGTCCAAATTTTGTTTTTTCGCCTTTCCTTTACGCTAGCAAAGGTGTGAAATCCTCTGAGAATAGAATCGTGACGAGTGATCGTCGTCTACGTGACGAGTCATCAATGTGCATAGTGTGACGCAATAAGACTATCCTATTTTCATTGCCACTGAAATCGTTAGCGAAATGATGTATTGATGATATGTTTTTTTCTGTTGTATTGAAACATCGTCTGTGTTCTAGAAGATAATTTTTCTGAATATTTTATTGAATCTCTGATAATTTCGAATTTAACTTTACATCGCTGAAATTAATGAAATTTTTTTTAATTGTAAATAAACATACTTGGTGCACGTTTAGTTTTAAATCGTGATTATAGCTAATCGATTTTTAATGAATTTGTTATTTTAAATAATTTACATGAATCATTACATGTGTATTTTATATTTAGATATACACTATATGTGTATATACAGATACAATATATAATTATGTGTTTTAGGTAGATCGCTGTAACAGTTTGCACTATTATGGAAGATGAGGATGGAGAAAGTAAAATAGATATGTGGAATATTTTGGACAAGCAGCGACTCAATGATTCCACATTAGACAACCCATTGAAACATTCCATCGACGATGTATATACTGCTGTAATCGAAGAAGAGAAGCAGTTAATACGCTACAACTCGATCATAACGAATGATTCGCCAGGTAAAAATACCGTTGCGGGGCCAAATTTTATATTTAAGGGTTTTAAGAAGCGTATCTTGGCCGAGGCTCGAGAAGTTCCTACCGCTGTGTCAAAAAACAGTTCACCAGAGCTACGACAATTGAAGCATCTCAATGCAAGGACTGGCAAAGACAAGAAGGTGGAGAGGAAGCGGAAGCGTAAGATAACGGAATACGCTCAATATCTGGGTCTTCGACCGTCCTCGAAGTACAAGTGCTCCAAGTGTCACGCATGGTCTAGTTACGGTCCCAACTCGAGACAGAACTCGTGTGCTTGTAATCCTAGTATGACACCGATG